TTTTTGAGATGGAGTCTCGCTCTGTCACCCAGGCTGGAGTGCAGTGGCATGATCTCAGTTCACTGCAACCTCTGCCTCCCGGGTTTCAAGCGATTTTCCTGCCTTAGCCTCCCGAGTAGCTGGGATTACAGGCACACACCACCACACCTGACTAATTTTTGTATTTTTAGTAGAAACAGGGTTTCACTATGTTGGGGCTGGCCTCAAACTCCTAACCTTGTGATCCACCTGCCTTGGCATCCCAAAGTGCTAGGATTCCAGGCGTGAGCCACCACACCCAACAAATATTTTATTTTACTTATTTATTTTTTTGAGATGGAGTCTCACTCTGTACCCCAGGCTGGAGTGCAGTGGCGCGATCTTGGCTCACTGCAACCTCCACCTCCAGGGTCCCAGTTTAAGCAGTTCTACTTCAGCCTTCCGAGTAGCTGGGATTACAGGCACAAGCCACCATGCCAAGCTAATTTTTGTATTTTTTATTAGAGATGGGGTTTCCCCATATTGGCCAGTCTGGTCTTGAACTCCTGACCTCGTGATCCGCCTTCCTCGGCCTCCCAAAGTGCTGGGATTACAGGCATGAGCCACTGCGACTGGCCTATTTTATTTTTTATAAAGATAAGGTCTTGCTGTGTTGCCCAGGCTAGTTTTGAACTCTTGGCCTTAAGTGATCCATCTCAGCCTTCCAGAGTGCAGGGATTATAGGTGTGAGCCACTGCACCTGGCCGAATTTATATAATCTCACTTCAAATTATTTTGGCAGTTTTGTGAATTCTGAGTACAGTGTTTTCATCGCAGTCCGTGATATTTCTTCTTTTTTTGATTATAGATTTTGATGGACAGGAATTTTCACTTTTAATGTTAAGCATATTCATCTATGTCTTTATATTCTCTACTATTTTTAAATTGAAGAAATTATTTTCCACTCTTTCGTCATATTCAGTTCTTGAATACAGTCTTCTAAAAGTTTTGCTTACCATGTTTAGGACTTTAATCTACCTGAAATTGATTTTGCTGTTGAACATGATGAAAGAGATCCTGTT